CCATTTTCTTTACAATAGTGGGACTTCTATTTGCTGGCAAAGTTTGTTTACCTGGCTGATGAATGTCTGGACTGCAGGACTTTATTTTGGAAAAGAGCAAGACATCAGAATTGCATTCTCAGGAGGATGCCTAAATCAGACTATCAAACACTGACTGAAAAGAGGAATGCTTTGACTTGTTCTCACTATGCACTTTGGATGAAAAAAGGAGAGCCTTTCCCATAACCAAATACAGACCACGTTGACTAATCTCCTGAGCATACTGCAATGCAGTCAGGTCTGCACTGTGATAGGAACTGGTGAAGAATGCTTTACACTGACAAGCATAACGCCCCACCTTACTGACTGTTCCTGTTTTTAACGTCTCACAATTCGGAAGTCAAAGTATTTATGAACTTTGTGGTGGACCAGAGGGTTGTGGAGGAACTCAAGTGAGGCTGGCCTCGCTGTTTAGGAGATTAGTGTTTTACATCTTCCTTCTGATGAACAAAGCCTTTGGCACCATTGTGGATCAATCTTGCATTACTGCACCAAGAAGCCAATAGATCAAAACATGTTCTCTCAATGTATGTAACAGCAAAAAGACATACATCCCCTGCTCCCCCATAAGCTCTAGGAAACACTAAGGAACATTGTAGAGGGGGATTTCGTCCTTATATTTATATAAATATATATATATAAATATATATATATTTTGCTGATGCAGTATACAGTGTGTGTGTATGTGTGTGTGTGTGTATATACACATATGTATATATATATGTATATACACACAAATGATTCCTGGAAAAGAACTCAGAATGCTTTGCTAGCAAAACACTGTGGTGTGCAAAACTAGAACTCAATAGAAAAAAGCCATTTTTCTGAAGGCCACATAGCTGAGAGTCTTCAGTTTACCTCATTCTTTGTAGCAGCCCTTGATTTTAACAGTTTTTTGTAATAGGTACAAACGATCCCATGCCTTTCTAGGTGCAATTTTAAGTTAAGCTAAAATTCTTTTTATGGTAATTTATTTGTATATGAGGGTAGAAGGTGAGATCATGTCATACCTTAAAATCCTAATTTTGGGAAACTGACACTATTTAAATTATTAGCAACTGTTGTACAGAAAAATCTCTTTTTTCTACTTCATTGTTACATTAGCATTCATACATGTTCAAGCACAGCATTTTACCATAGGTAAGCATTCCTTTTAGCACATATAAAATGCAATGTTTAAAGTAATGCAAACACTATCCCACTGCAAAGATGGATGAACTTATCTTCAGCTGAATATTAATTCATCTTTGCCAAAAAATGAGCAATATAATTGTTAAAAATCTATGCCTTGTTTACTGAAGTTGTTATTTTAAATGTAGATTTAATGGCCACCAAAATTTGGAGTAAATATTCCTCACTAACAGTAGTTTTATTTTTCAACACAAGGATAAACCATTGAATCCACAGACATCTTAACTCACTACTGAGTTGGCGTTCCAGGGAAGCTGCCTGCACTATCAGTATTTGTTTTCCTGTCAATACACAGTTTGCCTGAGATTGATTCTGAAAACAAAAAAAAATTGTCTGTTTTGAGCACTGTTTCATTGAACTTACTAGAGGAACTGCATTAATGACCAGACAGTCACTTTAGGATGAGATTTATGTTAAAATAAAATCAGCAGTTTCCAAAATAATCACTTACCAGGTAAGCTGGAGTGTTTAAAAACAACACAGTTTGCACAATTATTTTAAACTCTGTGCCATTCAGACCATAGTGGGTCCCTGCCTTTCTCCATTTCCTCCCTCTCCCCCACTCAAGGTATTTTAGTACAAAAATGTAATTTGTTTATGTATATTTTCCTTTGAAATTTTTGACCAAACTTGCCACTGGAATGGTTTCTAAGTAATTCTTTTTTCCAGTCAGTTCATTCACAGGCAGAATGGAGTGTTTATGGATCACTAAATTTTTCCAAAGTGTATTAATCTGTAAATACAGCCAAGCACTTACTTGGAAGTCATGGTTTAATAATTATAATTTGGTTCCTAATTTAAGCCTTCATCTGCATGGGCAGTCTGAGGCTCCTAGTGATAGTGGTGGAGGTAAAAGGCAGGTTCAGCTGCTTGATATCTTCCAAAATTTTGGTGTTATCACTACTGTGTCCTAAGATAAAGTATTCACTAAAACTTGGATTATAAATTACATTTTCAGAAATGTTACACTTGTAAATAGTTCGAGATTTTTGTGACTGGAACACAGCTGGGGGATGGGGAGAGTTTCTAAGCTGCTAAAATTTCTTTCCCTTCCCACCCCTCCAACTTACTTATTTCAGTTATTGTAACATCATGTGGAGTTAGGCTTTGATTAAACAGATCACAATAATAATTTTTTTAAAACCAAACAAAAACACTTATCTTGGAGCACACCCAGACTGTGGCTGGCTGACTGGAAATTGATCTGATCTGCCAGTGCTATTGCTATGAATTATTAAATGTTAGCAAAGGTTTAGTAAATAGATTTATTAAATATTTGAGCATTTCAAATCCAGAAATAGATGCGGCCAAATGCATTTTAGAAAACCCAAACCAGTAATTGAAGAGACAGTTGTCAACAGTTGCTTTTAATAAGGTCACTAAGTACTATATAGTACAGTATTAATTTATAGCAGAAAATCATATCTTGTAAACTGTATATAAAACACTGTTTTATGGTGCAATCATTTGTCAAACTTATGTCTGTTACTTTTGTTTTAAAGTTGTGTGCATTCTTTTCATACCTAAGAGCATCACTGTAAAATCTGCTGAAGACTATTTATAGGTTTTATTTGCACAAGGTTTTGTTTTGAACTACAGGAAGTTCGTATTGAACATGCCTAAACATCTGTAGACTTTTTCAGTTCATGAAAAGCAAATGTTTCCATATGAATCTTCTCCAAAGGTAATCCCATATTTGTGTTGAGTGTTTACATAAACTTTTCTGATTCTGCCAGCCATTATTTTTTAACTTTTTGAAGGACAGCTCATTTTATACATCACTAGAGAATTCCATTTATTCTTTTGCTTCTAAATCCTCCCAAAGGTTTGACAACCCATCATAATTTGTGCACACTTTGTCATTTATTTGGCTAACAAAACGTGAGATTGGAAACTGAAAATACAATCTGAAGGAAAAAGTAGTAAATTTACATAATTGTTATCATTGAGCTCAGCTGAAATAATAACCTGAGAGCTGTTTGGCTGAGACCTGGGGAGGGTGTGCTTCGCAGAACACATCAGTCCCACCATTTGACGAGGTTTGTGTGCTGTTGATGCACCGAAGGCACGGGCGGTGCCACGCTCCGAGCCGCGCTGCAGAGCGGTGCCGGTGTCCGAGGGCACGGGCGGTGCCACGCTCCGAGCCGCGCTGCAGAGCGGTGCCGGTGTCCGAGGGCACGGGCGGTGCCACGCTCCGAGCCGCGCTGCAGAGCGGTGCCGGTGCACGGGCGGTGCCACGCTCCGAGCCCGGCCCTGCCTCAGCCGGGCCCTCCTGCCGTCCCTGTGTTCCCCAGACCGTGTTTAACCACTCCAGAACACACCTGTAGGTTCCTGTTTGCCCCGACACACACACACACACGGGAAAATGGAAGCTGTCCTTTAAAACCTTTGTGAAGGATGAACATAATGAAGGAAATGGTGTCTGCAGGCGGGCTGTCCTGCCTGGGCTCGAGGCCGGGCCCGCCGCCTGCACCCCCGGCCTTTACTGAGGGTTGTTTTCTATTGGTTAGAGCATTTTTTCAATTAATGATTTCCGAACAAATGTTAATACAAACTGTATAAAATGAACATAATTTTCTTCACTTGTATTTTTGTTATTGAGCAAGTTTATCAAAATAAATTGTCTACTAAAGCGACTGCCTCCGGCTGCACTGACTGGAACCAACCCTGCCACGCACACAGGTGTCCCCCCTCAGGTGTGTCCTCTCTTAGGTGTCTCCCCTCAGGTGTGTCCTCCCTCAGGTGTGTCCCCTCTCAGGTGTGTGTGTCCCCTCAGGTGTGTGCTTTCTCAGGTGTGTCCCCCCCTCAGGTGTATGTCCCCCCAGGTGTGTCCCCCCAGGTGTGTCCCCTCATGCCCGGCGGGGCCCCTCGCCTCCCGCCCACCGGCGCCCTCAGGCGGCGGGAAGCGGCGCACCGGCGCCGGCTCCGTCTCCACCGGCAACGCCGCAACAGCGGGCCGGGGCCGGGCTGGGCCCCTCTGCTCCCGGTGCCGCACGAGGGAAGGGTCGGGGCAGTGCCGGGAGGTGCTGAGGGGTTCGGGGAGTCGCTGTCACGGGCGCGGTGCGGGGAGGGAGGGAGGACGGGCACGGTTGAGCCTTTGCCCCGTCACGGGCGCGGTGCTAGGGAGGGGAGGGCGGGCACGGGGGAGCCTTTCCCCCGTCGGGTGAGTCTCATCAGGCGGTGCGGGGTCGGAGGGGCCGAGGGGGTCTCTCCCCAGTGGGCTGAGGTGACTCTCGGGCATGGGACACCGCGGGGACCCGGGGCTCTTCCCCCGTGAGGTGAGCGGGGTCTCGGGGAAGGCAGGGGCTGCGCTGACACCCGCTGTGAGCCGCAGGGCCCGGGTGGCCTGGGCCGGGGGGAGGCGGTGGAGCCCAGCCAAGGGAAAACCGGGATTTAATGGTTTTTGCTTGACTCGTACCGCGCCCAAAGCCGAGGGCAGCTCGCCCACCCACTGCCAGCCCGGCTGGCTCGGCTCCCGCCGCCGCGCTGGGCTTTGCTGTGGTTAATCTCTTTTTCTGGTTGAGCTCTGTAGCCGGTGTCCCAGCAGCTGTGCACGCATATAATTAACTGCATAAAATCCATTAACGAGCAGCTCTGCAGAATAGTTCCTAAATGTGTTTTCTATAAATGGATAATTGTAACTTCTCTTTATTTTTTAGTTTGCTGTTGTCCCACATACAATGTAAATTATCATTTAAGTTGCTGATAATATTAATACATTTCTAAGAGTGTTTATTCCTGAGGATTTTAACTTTTTTGCTCTAATGCTTTCTTTTCATTTTTAGCAAGACTAAGTTTATTTACATAATGGATACACACATCAGGAAAATGGCATGGTTTTTGGATAACGATCAATATTTGGAAAAAATTGGGTGAGGAAACCATTACAAAATCTAGTTGAGACTTCATATGTAGATAGAAAATAAATTATAATTCATGTAAAGTATATACTATATCCCTTCAAAACATCATATATTACCTTAATGCTTCAACAACTGTCAAAGAACAGTTCCTACAGAAAAAACTTGAAATTACTTTATGACAATAGAGGAATATTATGGGTAATGAATTGCTCTCATAAAATTATTGTCTCGTAGGTTGACAAAATTCCATCAACAGGGTGATCATCCACAAGGGCAAGATTTTGCTGTGCCTCCTCTAGGACCAGATAATGCATTGCTGGGAACACATAGCAGCATGACACAAGATGTGCTGGTAGGCGAGTTCTCCTACAAAATGGAGCAGCTGGTACAGTAATGCAGACCCATTATAAATTCACAGTGGGGAATAAATAAACTGATAGACAACTAATATGCTTCCTTACATACATTTGCATATATACACAGACAGTTTGATGGTGTGATCACTCACGTCAAGAAACTGCATGTAGTTTCTCTGCAGAGATTAATCTGACAACAAATTGGGTAAAACAATAAATGAGATCAGCTGTTGATACTGCATTTTTTCCTCCAAAGGCAGAAGCCAAGTTCAAACTCTGTGTCATGTTTGAGAGATGCTTATTTTTATTCCTCTCTGGTAAATCACTGAGGTATTTATTTTAATTCTTTTACTAAGCTCTCCTATTTCTTGTCTTCATTCCTGTCTGCTCTAAACTAATCTCTTTTTTCCCTTCCTTTAGCTCACAGTCTGAGGGTGATGTTAAAGTTTCTTTTCCTTTGTATCCCACATTCAGAAGAGTATTCCAGTACATAAAATTATGTTCTTGGACATGCACTGCCTAGCAGCAACTCTTGTTAGGACTTAGATTTTTGTCACATTTAATTTCTCATACTGCATGTAATTTTTTCTCACTTAATCTGTAGAGTGGACAAATGAAGAAAACACAGTCTCAAAAGGTGCAAACAACAGAAGAATGGATAAAAAGCTACAGTTTGGAATCTTTGCAATTAACATTAGAGTATCTGGTAAATGAAGACAATATTATTTTGTAAGTACACTGCCTTTTCTCTAGTCAGTCTTAACTTGTGTGCATCTCTGATGTTAACCACGCATAGTGCTCCAGGAATTCAGGAAATGGTGGTGAAGTGATGGAGTTTACAGAGGAGACTGTTGCTGATTTTGAATCCAGACTTTCTGAGTAAGTATCCATCTTCTTTTCTGCTTTGATGTGTAACTGATTCTGTATCTCCATTACTGTAGACACTACCTTAAATCTTAATTTGTTGTCTCTGGGCACCTCAGAGTATGTCAACATTAAATCCTTCCTGCTGAGATTAAGGGATAATTGTATGTCACTGCAGCTGAGGTTTGGGGTTTTTTATGGAAGATGTTTATCAGCCAGGTGTTGATGTGAAGCAGTTTGCTCATTTTAGAAAGGCAGCCAGGGCCTGGTCAGGTTTCCATATGTAACACTGTGTAGCTGGGAGTTATACTCATGAAACTTGGATTAGCTTCAAGCTATGGATGCAGATGTGACATGGAAATTGAAAGTATTCAAAGTGAATTTTAAATCTATAAAATCAAGAAACTTAAATAATATAATTTATAGGTTCAATAAGCTGTAAAATAATCTTCACAATTGATAAGAGTGCAGCCATTTCAGCATACCTCACTGTGTCAGGCTTTATAAAACAGAAGCAGCTTTTCTGTTTTGAGAAAGCAAAATGCATTTGCCCCTTTAAAATGTTCCTTAAACTTTCTGTTTGCCAACTTGTAGCCACTATGTGCATGGAATTAAAAATCATTGGTTAAAGTAAAACAATTTTAGAGGACAGGAAGCATTTTGTTTTACCCCAGGTTATAATATTAAACTGTTGGAAGTTGTTCTGCTTTAGGGAATGAAGTAGTTAAGTGGTGAGCCCTGCAACCACCAGTTGTGTAAGGGCATATTTAACATATTTTAGAACACCTGTCTCACAGAGTTTGCACCTGTGAGAAAGGGATGTGATGAAGACAGGTGTTGATTGTTACATTGACACCCATGTGAGAGAATGCTGTAGTTAATGTGTGCTCTGCCTTTTGTCAGAGTGATTGAACTCTATCAGCACCGAATTCAGTGGCTGCTGCAGGACAGCAGAAAGGTAACCTGAGCTTTGCAGTATATTTTTAGAATGAAACTCTACATTGTCATTAAAGACTAAATTAACTTTTCACTAGTGAAAAGTGGCTTCCAGAAAGCCTTTGTATTTTCCTTATTTACTACAAGTTACACATCATATGCAGTGATGTTGACAGTGGATTGTTCTTCCTGACCTTTCATTGGTATGCAGTTTTCTGCTTTCTAGATTTACTCTTTTCCTCTCTTTACAGTCTTAGTCATCAGGTCCTCTCAGCACAATTTAAATGGGAGCAGACAATGCTGAGCTTTACCTCTGCCTGGAGTGGGGCTTCTTGTGGTTCATTGTGCCCACCCTTGCACAGCTGCTCCATCACACTGTGCCTGGCAGTGCCAGTGCTCAGATGTAACTCCCTCCTAAAGGGAATAGGGAAAGATGCAGCATTCCAAAATCTGGTTTCCACAAAGTTGCTTGATTTAGCCTGAAGGGGACAAAGTTATTTCCTATTTATCCTCTCAAGTAATGAATGAGTTTTATTGGGAAGAAGGTAACATGATTAACTGGTAAGGATTAACTGGGAACCAGTAGGACTCTCTTTTTCTCTCTTTTCCTCCTTGACTTTGTCATCTTTATGCTAAAAAGTTTAAAATTAAAATAAATACCTAATGCTTGATCTAAAAATGGTGTTGTACAGAATAAACAGTAAAATTATTAAGGTGTAGATAAGCTAATATTTACAGTGACTTTCCTAAGGTGTTCGGTGTCATAAAAGGAACTAAAGTTGGACTTTTGGTTGATGTGTCTCACTTGAGTTATGGACCTAGACTGTTGGATTTTCAGAAGAACCTTTTGGTAAGTCATAGTAAAGCAAATTTTGCCTATTTTAACATACCAATCAAGCTTTTGTGGAACTAGAAGCCAGGAACCAAAGAGAAAACAGTCTGCTTAAAATCCTAATATAAAATAGAATAGAAATTTTCTGTTGTAGAAAAGTGTGCTCCAAATGTCTTTGAAAGTAGTATTTGTTAATGTCCAAAACAAATCCAAATCAAAACAAATCCAGTATACTTCAAAATATTATTAAGAAAAATGTTATTGTTAAAGTTTTTCAATTCTATCAACATTCTCTGTGGAATAAACTTGCTTAACAAAAGCAGCTGTAAGAGATAGAACCAAATTGTACATAGAAATATTTATATTAAATATAGTTTCTTTTAAGTTAACTTTTGTCACAGTAAGGCCCACTTCACAATTTTTGTCAGAACCTTGGTGAATTAATCATTTTCTGTCTTCTCAGAAGAAACTTGTCCTTTGCTGTGTTCTTTGTTTTTAGAAAACTTTTACAGTAAGGATGGAATATGTAGGATTGTATATGTATTGTATATGTATGGATATAATGTAGCTGGTTCAGTGTCTATATTTGATGCTTGGTACAATTCAGTTTCCCACAGGAATTATTTACCATCAGTTTATATTATTTTTGTGTTTCAAATAAAACTCCTTCAAGAAAACTCAGTTTCCACAGTCTGGTTTACTTAGCTTGAATATGTGAACTATTGTTTAGCCCTATCCATGATTGTGAGGTAACCATTTTTTAGAAATTGCATGGTGTGTGACTGTGCATTCTAGATCATTGCTGTTTCATGTGGTCATCAGCTGAAGAGAAAAACTGTAGCCAGTAAAAATATTCCTGTAACAGTAACATAAATATCCCTGCCTCCTGCCCCATTAACAAATTATTTGGAATGTCATGAGTTTGCAGGTTTTGTCTCTATCCTTACCAAATATTTGAATCTCCATGAGTTTTTCTTGAAAGCTTTTTCATGGTAGCTGAAAATATTGCTGTAACTATTTTTAGGAAATTACTATTTTTATTCTTTTGCATAATAACCCTGCCAGAAGCAGCATGGATAGTAATGCATTCATAATTTTTTATTTATTAGTGCTTAATAGATGAGCAGCTTTGTTATAAGAAGGAATTGTACTGCCTCTCATTCAGTGCAGACATTTCACCACTGTGGGAGAGTCCAAAAACCATCAATGTCCATGTGTAAGTAAGTTAATTTCTCTGAAAAATCAAGGTGTTTCAGACAAGATCTCCATTTCATTTGAGCAATCTCATGTAGGTAATAGTGTTTTTCATCCTGTGCCTGCACTGATTTTAAGAGGGGAGAAAAGCAATGAATTTGACTCATGATCAGTGGTTTCAAGATGGTTTTCACATATAAAATATCTTAGCTGCTCCTGTGGTTTGTAGTAATCTTTGTGATCTATCTTATTTAGCACCTAAATATTCTTTTTCTTGTTCCCTCTCCCAGGCTTCATGAAGCAAGACAGTGGGTGCAAGAGCTGGAGCCTGGTCGAGGCTGCAATTTGCTGAAAGCCTTGAGGCATGTCCTTCCCATGAGAGACCTGAATTCCTTGGTCCTTATTGTAGGAAGCTGGTAAGTTAATTTTCTGTATTAACAACCAGATTTAACCTGGATACAGGATTGGTACAGGAAACTGAACTTGATACAAAAATAAAGAGAAAATTCAAGATCCGTGCATTATGTATTTTTAGTTTATACCTTTGAATTCCTTTATTTCTTCCCGTTTTTTACTATTTATGAATCTTTTCCTTTCTGTTATGAAGCTATGTGTTTCCTTTGAAGATCACTTAGCACAGTAATCTATTGAGAGCCTGCTAGCTCTGGTTTTACACCAATTAAATGTCATTAAAGATGTCATTGAAAGAGTCCACACCTCTGGGAAGATTAGAGGATCAGACAGATTTTGCTATAAAATAGCATTAAGCATTCAAACATTATTATCTCTGTGATCTTAGTAGTGCTGATGGAGAACTTAGAATGTCTGATTAAATAAATGAAACCAGGTGAGATTGTATAAGTTATGGACTTAAATTCTGCAGTTCTGCTGTCATAATTTAAAAATTCCAATAATGGAGTTGGGCTTACAAGGAAAAGACTACAATAAGGATTCTAGGAGTGTTACCTTACTCCTAGTTCACTAATTGTATTTTATTTTAAATGTGCAAAAAGGGATGGTGTAAGCTTGGCAAGACTGATACTTAGAGTAATTGAATTTAAATTTCAGATAACTTATTGAACACACAGTGTTGATTACAAGGTTCCAAGTTTTGCTTACATCTGCTCTGAACATAAACCAGAAGTTCATACTATGTGAAAAATTCCCTAATTTCTGTCCTTGACAGAAGTGTAGCAAGGAAAGGTTTTTGGTAGCCATCAGAGCTCAGGAAATGACAGCTGTGTGGGACACTAAGTTCTAAACATAAAGTAAAGTTTTACTTTCTTTGGTGCCTTTGGAAACAGGACATCCTTACATACCAGAGCTGAAAGGTTTTCTTCACAGTGGCCAAAGGCACAACTCCTGATCTTTAGTTTTCAGGGCTAAAGGGAATACTTGAGAACATTTCATTCACAAGCTGTTCTCAATGGAGATAGAATCCTAGTGGGTTTGTTATCATCCAGATTTTCAGGACAGAACCAAGCTCCAGTAATGGCTGAAAGATGGAGAGAAAATCCCTCCAAAAGCATGATAATGCTAAATACCTAAATAATTCCTATGATTTATTATTTCTTTCCCAGTTTTTTTTCCATATCTTTTTCAGTATGGCCTTTTTCTTCCCATTTGATTACTTCCATTGTTAATATATTTTTCTTTTCTTTTTTAATCAGCCCTGACCAGTCTTTTGAAATATTATGTGATTATGCACAGCAGTGTACACTGGGGAGAAAAGTGCAGATTCACACTGTTACATATGATTGCAGCAACCCTGCTTCCCTTGTAAGTAATTGTGTTAATACTGAACTTCCTGAAATAAACTTCTCTTATAAACTTGTGGGGAAGCTAACCTAGAGTTCTTGAATTAGTGTTCTTTTCTCTTCAGAGTGTATTTGCACACATGAAAAAAATTGTTTGGAGCATCATCTTGTAACTTGCTTTACTCAGTTTTTCAGCCATATTAAAATAAGATTGGTAAGCAAATGATGGAAACATAATTATTTTGGCTTTCTCACTACATGTATCTCAAATCTTCTTCTTCTGTCTTAACTGAGAACTAAATAACAACAAACCACATTATCAAAAGAGACTATCAAATCAAGGTAACTGTTTCTCTTCCTATTTTTATATGTAGGCAGTTCTAAAGAACCTTGCAGAAGCTGTAGGAGGCCGTTATCATTGCTACTCTTCCCAGGGAGAGGTAGGTGACAGGGAGAGAGGCAAAGCATTTTTCTCTCTTGCTGATGATTCTTCACTTTTAGAAGGTAAAATAATTATCATCTGGGTAGAAGCTGATAGTAAGAATTAGTGCTGAAAGTCTCTGTCATAGAAATGCTGAGGATGTGCTCAATAATCCTGTGGTTAATTCTTTCTGCAACTGAAAACATTCCCTAAAAGTGCAATAAATCCTGCAGTTATTGTTTACTGACTTATGGCTGATAAAAGTAGTGGCTTACTGTAGAGTGATTCAAAGTAATAAAGTAGTGTCTTGTTTATGAATTATTACTAATTTATATGCAGAGCATTAGATACAGTCACACTCAATTCTGCCATACCAGGCAGTCTTGTATTGATGTTTGCACATAAAGTAAGAAAGCTGCTTTCAGTTGGTGTTTGAACAATAGTTAACTTATTTTTCCCCATTTGTTTTTATAATTGCAGAATTTTGATAGCAGTGATTTTCATCTGCTACTTCAGGAATCCCAGAAGGCTAAGGACCTACTCAAGAGCATCAAACAGAGTTTTCAAAGAAGAGTTGGTGGCTTCCTTGGTAATAAAAGAGCAGATGTATGTATATTTTTATTTCCAGAGGTACTTTGGATAATTAGGGTTAGAAATTTTAATTGTCCACAATATAAAAAAAATTGTATGATTGATCAGGTATTTTGATATGTGAACCTTGAGTATTCTCTATTGAAAATCCATTGTTCAGAGCAAATATGGAATAAAATCAGTAAAGGAAACATTTTACTAAATATTTTCCACAATGCATGAAAAGAGCATTGTCCTGTGATCATAGTGGGAATCTCAGGAGCACCAGCCTAATTCTATGCACAATCATATAAATTAAGTTCCAACTGTCCTTTAAATTGCTGAAAAGATACTTCCTCCTGTGTGATTTAGTTGGACATTTAAATCCATTGCAAACTTACAAGGGCTTGTCTTGGTAGCACTGTTATACAAGTCTGGGAGGAATGTTTTGTGGATAAAATTTCTAATTATATTTCCCCTCATCCTTCCTATGCTGTACTTTTTTTTTCTCTCTTCCAACCTTATAGTTACTAAGGACTGTGTAGATACCTGTGGAGCAGAAGTCACTCTTAGATGACTTAGAAGGTTCTAAATCCCCAGTAAAAACCCATTTTAGGAGAACCACTGATAGCTACTTTCAAAGTGTTTTGCTTGTTGGAATCCCAGCACTTTAGTTTTAATTATGTTCACCAGAATTCCATGCTGGATATTTTGAGTTGAGGGTAAAAATAAATTATGTTAAAACTGTCAAGAGCTTTTCTTGAAATCTGTTTTAGGTTTCCACAGCATTTGCAAATTCAGCACCTTCTAGCTTCTTCCCAAAGCCTCCAAGGCACAAAGCACCATTAGTTATTCAAACACCAGGCATCCAGGCCAAAACCTCAGCAGACTGGTTAAAGACCTATGGATTGAAAGGTAGCACAGAAAGAAAAGCTTAACAGGTATGAAACATGAATTAAAGACACACTATGTGTTTTATTTAATGTATTTTTTCTTCCTATAGCTAAAAAGTTAGACCTTTATCAAGTTCTGGCTCCCAATGCTTTCTCTCCTGTGGAAGATTTTGTACCTATCCTTAAAAAAACAGTATCATCAACTCTGCATGAGGCAAGTGAGGAGGGACTTTTTATTCCCTGGGTTTGTGGGGTTTTTTTCTTTCTATTGCTACATCTTTCTAATTTAAATCATTAATTTATAAGTTAGCTGAAATTCTACAGACTGGCATTTGAGTCATAGATTCATAGATTCAAATACTTAATGTCATTCTTAAGAATGACCCAGGAAGAAATTCCATGTTAGTCTATCTTATGTTGGGTTCTGTAAACACTTAACTCTACTTCTCCTTCTAGAAAGTGATGATGCAGTTTGAGTGGTATGATGGAACTGTAAAAAATATCCATGTTGACCTGCCAGTACTGTACAACTATCAGGTGAGTTGTCTAACATGATGTGGCCTTGTCAGGGCTAGACTGCCATCTAATTATTCCTCATTAATTGTCTTGTTAGCTAAGTGCTGCAGGGATTCCTGTGCAGACAGCTGTCCATGTAAGTCTGCAGCCCCTGGGATTCTTACAGGCAGAGGTGATTGCTGAGGATTTCCTCCTTGGTCAGAATGCAGGTCATCAGAGAGTGGGGCAAGTTTGATGAAAGAGAAGCTGTCTGGCGGTGTTTGCAACCAGGGTTTGCTATATATTGGTCTTTTTCTTAGTCCTTTTTCTTACCCACTTCACTGGCAGTCCTGACAAAGGGCTATGGGAATGTTTCCAGGCAGGGCAAGTAATCCATTAAAGTGGGAGTGATGTGAGGTCTGTGGAACTCTACAGCCATTCCAAAAGGAGGGTGTGAAGTGGCTGAAATGAAAAGCAGCTTCTGTGGCTTCTTGCTCACTGGGAGATGCTTGTGTTTTGTGCATGCTAAATTATAGTTCTGTTTGTGAGTTCAGTGCCCTTTTCTACCTTGATATGCCATCAAATAATACCTACATAGACTTGCAAAGGTCATGGTGTATAAACAAATTACTGTAATAGTAATATCAAATTGATACTGTTAAAGAATTACATGTGTTTGAGAATGTTGTGTTTATGTTAAATGATGTATTTTGTTATGAACACTGCCTAAAATTGCTATTGAAGAAAGGGTAAGCTTGCAACAACTGTATTTTTAAAGCTCCTTTTTTCTTTTCTTGGTATGCCTGAACACTGTTTTGGAATATGGTGGCAAGAGGAAAAGTGAAGTGGGGATACAGACCTTTAAATTCTTTGTTGCTTTTTTATCACTGGATGTTTTTTTCATGGACTGTGTTCTCTTATCTGTACTAAGAATGAAATGTTGCTATCTAAATGAATGAATTTTTTTTTCATTAGTATGCTATTTTGTTATTTCTGTCCTAATCATTTGGCAACAAAAGACTTGAACTTTCTATTTTTAACATAAATTTTCTTTATTTATGCATAGAAAGTCCTTGCTAAAATGGTAAGAATCTATGAGAAACGAATTGACTGGCTGTCTGTTGCTAGCAGAAGAATATGGGGAAGTGTTTGTGAAAGAAGGTATTGTATTTGATTTTGGAGGTTTTTTTGTGAGGTTTGAAGTCTTAATATGTTTGAGGACAGTGTTTATTTACATCTTGTCTGAGGCCTTACCCAACCTCAGTTGCACATTTGCTCTTTTTCCTGTTTACAAGCCTTGAATGTGGAGTTTCAGACAAAAGGAAGGTAGCTGAGGCCCCTGTTACGAGAGATTCTCTTGCTCGTTGGTTAAGGATTGAATTAGCCCATCTGGCCACTCTCTTGTGCTGGGAACTCACATCCCACAGACTGTCCATCACACCTGTGGGTCTTTCCAAAACTACTCCTCACAAATTATCCTTTGTCCATTAACTGTGACCATCCTGCATTGTCTCTGCAAGCAAGACTTAAAACTGGCCATGCTGAGCAGCTCCTCATTAACCCTTTCCTCTAAACAGGAATGTGCTCAATAGCATCAGTCAGTCCATACCTGAGCAACCACTCTGGCACTGATGAGAGAGAGAAACCTTCACCATTTGTCTTTGGAGTAATATTCCACATTACTGTTCATATTACTGTTCCATTAATGTTCCTGGAGTGCTGCCTGGGACAGGAGAGTGAAGTATCCCATAACTCTCCATGTGGCAAACATCCACACATTGCAGGAGGGTTTTAGATACTCTAGTACAGAGAAGGGGAGGGGCTGTTTGGGGTTCAGGAGCATTAATGGCACTGCCAGTACCCTGATTATTTCATAGTTTGGGAAAGACAGAAATTTCCATTACTGTTCCTATTTTTTTTTTTAAATGTCACCTAATGTTTTGCAGATTTTTTTAAAAATACTGGTTCAGTCCTTATACATTTTGATACATAAGTAGAAGATACTTTCCCTGACAAGTTACAGTGCCCTAAAGATAAGAATACATAATTAAATAAGACTTTTTTCTTTTTTTTAATGAATAGCATTTTTCTTCTGCAGGGTGGTTGTACTTGTTGATATATCAGTGACAAACTCTGCCTACATCTCTCATATCCAACATTGTTTGCGACTTTTGCTTGAGGAACAAATGTCAAATAAGGATTGCTTCAATATTATAGCGTAAGTAACTATTTAAAAGTCTTTAAAAATAACTGTAATGCCTTGCAATGAAAGAAGTATGCTGAGAGATTGTAGTTACTAATAGGCATATTTTAGTATTTAATGTTTTTTTAGTGAAGTATTTGCAAGACTAGCACTGATTAGTCCTTATTGGTGAGTGCATGAATCAGATGTATAGAGATCAGATTAGTAATTAAAAATCACTTTTTTGGGTGAGGGTCACTGGAACTGATTGCATCATACCTGTAACAAATACTCACCCTGCTATATTGTTCATAACAGTATTAATTCACCTGTCAGAAACGCACCAGAAGAGGATCTTGATGTCTCAGGTGCCATAACTGAGAGCACCCTTTAAATTTTACAGTAACTCCAATACTGTTAAATATATTATAGTGGTAAGATTCTGTACTCAGCACTGGCAGGCAGAAACATGTGGCACAGCTGCTGGGCAGGTGTCTGGCAGGTAAAAGTAAGAACCAGCAGCTCATGGAGTTCCTGACAAGGTGTGAGAGCCCTTATCCCACAAGAGAGGTACAGGCAGCAGCTGAGGGTTGGAGTTCCTTCTTCACAGCCCTTCCTCTGAGCTCTTCCCAGCTCATGTAGGATCCTATTCAGGAAATGAAATCAAATTAACCTTGGGTGATGGATAAATGTGGATAATTAAATGGTTTCCAATAGAAAATAGTTGACATCAGGCAGTTTTATATCTGTAATACCCTAAATGAGATTTTTCTTCATCTGTGAATTTATATTTTTGCTTGTTCTAAACTATAATATGAAAATTAATTGCTGTTATCTTTCTGTGAAAGATTTGGGAGTGACATTGTGCCTTGGCAGCAGGAACTGTGTCCTTGCCAGCCAGAAAACTTAGAAAAGGCTTGGAGGTAGGATCAAATAATTATCCTGTGTATGTGAATTTCACAGAGAAAAATTGCAAACAAGTAAAAAATTGTGTAAGTTTATCATGTTACAAAAACAGGCTGCCATGTTCTACAGTGATTGTTCATAGTGGTTTCTTGTGACAACAGCATTGTAAAAGTTAATAGGCTTGGGGTGACTTTATGTTTCATATGTATATAATATATATGTAAAAATACAGAAGTGATACCTCTGGTTTCATTTCTGTTTCTGTAAGTTCTACTACATTAATATTTTCCCATGTAAAATGATAAGAGAATTCTTTCCTCTTTAAGCTTTGTCTCTTACTTTAAAAACTAGTTTGCCATGCTGGCAATACAGAAACCAGAACAAATAATTTGTTATATAATCTGGTTTTGCTCTCTGTCATTTTCAAAAATTTTAGACTCCAGTGCAGTGTTATTTAAGACATTTAGTTCTCTTCATTGCTTTGAACAGAAACAAGAGCTTTTGTTTCTTCATTCTTTGAACTGTAAACATCTTGGTTTAGGTGGGTGTTGAGCTTGGAGTGCAAGGGCAGTAGAAATTTCATGAGTGCCCTCAGAAGAGCAGTGGAAGTTGACTTCAAAGACAAAGATAAACACAAATCACAGGGACTCTACCTGCTGACTACTGGAATACCTGATCAGGAAACAGTGAGTGTCATAGGCAACTCTTCTCTAAGTTCCTATCAAAACTAATACCAACTTTATTTTTCTCTTTTTTCCCCGTGCCTTTTTCCCCTTATAGCCAATCACAGTTCATTGACAAAATATTCCCCCTTTACATACCTAAGGCAGCACAATTGTCAGGATCCCAAAACTTCCATTTCTGTTAGTTAATCAATGTTAGTTATGTTAGTCATATTAGTTAGGCAATTGTTAATCATGTGTTGGAGGAAGCAATTATTAATTATTTACGGAAAATTCAATACATGCTTTTATGTTTCCTTTCCTATTCCAGCTCTGGGCATCATTTTGCTTCAGATTTCTGAGTTGGAGCAAACTGATTTTTTGTAATTTACCATTTCTGTACAATTCATGTACAGAATTATTCAAAAATACCATACAATCCAAATAATACAAAATTATTCAAAAATAATTTTCCAGTGGAGCTCCATAGCACACTGTGTAGAGACAGCTGCTGTTTTTATCCCAGTAATCCCTTGCCTGGATCCATGTTTGTAGTCAATGTGCTCCATGCTCTGTGTGCACAGCCTTGAGTTTCTATGTGTGTACAGTGAGGTGTCTCCTCCTTTTGTTACCAAACATCTGGAAATTCTGGGCAGGTAAGAAATTATTAAAGCCCATATGGTTGACAAGAAAATGAGGGACAAATGGACAATTTCATCCCTACTTTGTTTCAATGCACAGCTGCATTGATGTTCACTATCAGTCTTTGGTTCCCAAATGCAGCCCAGCTCAGCCCCTGCCTGCAGTGGGGTTGTTGTCCCTGTAAGCAGCAATAGTGACAATTGTTGTGTGTCTGCAGGGACTGAGGAGCCACTGCACCGCTCAGGGCATGTTCCTGTTCTGAACTGCTCCAACTGGGAGCATTTGGACATCACTCAGGAACCAGTGGAGCAGATGGAAGCTTGTCTGAGGTAGAGGCTCACCCCTGATGTTTTTTTCTGTCTGTCTTACAGCACACAATCAGTGCTTACGTGGCTGAGGCTTGTGGAGGTTTGGATTTGCAGCTCCATGTCTGTCTGCTCAGTGTAACAGAGGGCACTGACTCCAGTGGGATCATTCCAGCCCGCTATGCCACCCCCAGGGAGACTGCCAGTGCTTTGAAAGAAATTGTACAGGCAGCCAGTGGGAGGTTTCACTGGTTTGGAGAAACAGGTATGAGCAAAGGAAAGTCAGCACATACTTCTTTTTCATTAATGAAATAATATTCATTAATGCTTTTTTACTCCCAAATCAAGTAGTTTACTTTTTTGAGATATGCTGAGAGCACTGAGATATAAAAACAGGTCATAGTGTTATTGAGACCTTCAGCCACTTTGCAGAATATTATAATGCAGCCTTAATGAAGGAATTTGTTTGTTCCTTCATTTGAATTCACCATTTTCTGTTAGACTTTTTAAAGATGCTTTAAAATATAGTTATTAATATGATAAGTCCAGATGATCAGGCTTGCAGGAAACAAAGGTTTTTTGATTCTCTGCATTGGTATTTAGCATCTGGCGCAAATTGTTGTACATTTTAAAAAATAGTTATTTTGTACACTTTAAGAAACCCATGCTAATTAGCATCTATTTGATTATCAGGTATTTTTGAAAGTGATGATATTACCAGTATTATATCTGAAATGGGAAAAGCAAAGAACTACTCCCAAAAGGTATGAATTCATAGAACTTTTTAAATTACTTGTTTCTTCTTAAAAAAATTCAACAGTGTTTGTTCAGCTGAGAATTCAGGAGATTGGACAAAATTCTTTTATGATGAGCAGGAATGTTCTAGAGTGTGAGAATAGTGACCATAGAGTAAATGTGGACTAGAAAGCAGTTGCACAATAGCACTGCAGGGACTGGTGTTGGAGTAGCCATGATTCCATAGCAAATACAAGTCTACAGTTCAAGTGATTCTCCTTTTTGTTGCCAATCCTGTGATGAATTATTTTCAAATAAATTAATTCTTCATTATAATAAAGTTATAAATGCTATATGCAAATAAATAACATTACATTCTTGTAAGTCCCAGTATAGGGAGGGCAGTCAGCACAGTGGCTTTGATAATTCTAAACAAGTTGTTTTCTCAGGTGTAATGAGGGTGTAGAACTAGACTATCTCACCATATTCCATGTACATAACTTTTTTCCAAAATATCCAACAGAATAACTGCAGCAGTGTAGCCAGCCTGGCATGGTGCCTGCATCTTATAAAAGTGTGAGTAGAAAGAGATCTACAGTAAGAACCTTGTCCAGAGGGCTGAGAAACCTTTTGGATGCAAGTCTGAGTCACAAAAGTTGGATTTTTTTGAAAGAAGAGCTGGTGGCTATTCAGTGACACCTAAAAATACTTAGTTGTCGTGTTGCATATACTTGCTTCACCATCTTCCACTTTGTTCCAGCCTTGGTTTATGTACACTGCTGCCTTTTGGTTTAGTCTGTTTGCCCAGAGCAAGAAGGGTTTCCATACCTGCTTGAGCAAGTACAGCACAGAGGGGTTTCTGCTCAGTTAGAGGTGTTAAGCATTGTCAGATAGGAATATTATTTATAATTATAGTGGTAAATACAAAATACCTGTCTTTGAAATGTTATTTCCTTAAATTCCATGTATGTGAATTACTAAGCAATGTGGATTTCCATTTCAGTGTGCATTCCTGGTGCAGTCCTTAAAGCAACGCTCAGGAAATCAGTCTGTGAAACCCCTCACAGCAGAAGGAGACACAAATGTGCTTATGAGGAATGAGAAAAAAAACCCTCAGAAGGTGCCATCTCCTAAAGCCACAGCTGTGAATCTGGCTGGAATGGTTTGAAATTGTCCCATTTTTAATATGCTGTGTGTTAATTAAAGATCCTACCCAGCTATTGGATGTTCCTCTTTGTGAGAGAAGTTAAATAAGAGCAGCACTGAGATTTGAATTTGTTTGCATCAAAATGCTCCATATACCAAAAAGTGCATCATTCTAAGTAATTAATTATAATGGAACCACACTGTAGTGTCAAAAGGCGTCTAAATAATCTTTCCTCTGACCTTAAAAATTAATGTTTAATGGAAACAAAGGCAAAGCAGAAATGTGCTTTACCAAATTACATCTGTTTTGCAAGTCTTTCTAGAGGGAACTGAATATTGTGATGTTCTGCTCATTTACAGATGAGACAGCTGCAGCTCAGTAGCATGGCTTTGACCTCACAGAGAGCCAGCATAAAACAAAAACAGGATTCAGGATTTGTTTCCTGCCTGCTGTGCTCATTTCTGTGGAGCTGCACTACTGAATCCCCTGGGATTTTGCTTGTGTTTGTTAATTTTGACTGTTTTGAGTAGGTGTGCACATCTGGAATATGCATAAAGGGCCAGTGTCTGCTGGAACTTTCAGTTCTCATCTTTGGAATGGGAATGGCTTTGTAGGTGTGGGAATGTAGGAAATAGGAATGTAGGTGTGGGAATGTTGCAAAGGCTTTGTAGGCCTTCCAGGCTGTTTTATCAAAAGTGACATATTCTCAACACCTCTTCACAACTGCAGGAGAAACTAATTACTCAGAGATGACAAGAGAGCATAGTTTTGCAGGGATTAAACTTGTAGAAAAGGGGTATGGGGTTGTCCACAGATGTTTGGTGATATTTATAGTAGAGCTGTATGTTAAATTAGATGTCAGTTGCTTGAAGGCTCAGTGTCACAGCAAGTCTTATCCTACAGTAGGGTTAAACAAGTGCTTGTGCTGTTTAGCAGGCTGCTCAGCCCCTAGAGGGATAAGCCAAACCCAAAGGAGAAATTACTGGTGTCAGCACTAGATTTTCAGTAGTCTCTAAAATGCTGAGGAAGACATTAAATACTGTATTCTAGAAAGCAGGGCCATTACCACACTAGGCTGCTCCTTCAGGTGGCAAACATGGTCCAAACTCCTCTCCCTGTAGGTGTTAGTCTTCAGGTTTATGGTAGCAGATGATATTGGCAAGAAAATGAAAACAGAGTCATTAAAGTTATTTAACCCAGCAAGAAACTGCAAATTAATGTGTTGTCATGGCACTCTGTGGATTTGTCAAAGCCACAGTGAAGCAGGAACTAAATAATAAAGTAGTATAGTTCCAGCTTAGAATAATGCAGTTATGATCCATCTGAAGCACTTTTTACTTTTTTTTTTTTTGTTATTAAAGGTGCTTAAGGATGTTAAAGACAACCATGGTGCAGAGAAAAATACTCCTGTAAGAGCACTGGCATGGCGTCCTCCTAGTGCCAAAGCAGGAATTCCACCAGGTCTGAAGGATTAGGGGCTTCTTGTCTTCAGTTTCTTTTGGGTTTTGCTTTAAAGACAGTATTTAAGTTAGAGATTTAAATTAAGATTTTAGAAATACCTGGAATTGTAATCTTTAATCAAATTTATAGGAACCATTGTGCTTGTTTTGGAATTCCTTTGGGATGAGTTTTAGCTGTAATTTACCTCATTTGCTTCTACCCTGTGCAAGGAAGGAACTCTGCCCAGCTGTGCAATGATTTCCAGGTCCTGGGATTGAATACCTGACCTCTATCAGGCTCAGCTGTTCAGACATTTATTATGTTATTAGTTCAATGTATACATTGCCACTAAATCTGTTAGATCCCATTTTAATTAATATGCCATTCCACTTGATTTATTTGTGAACTAGTAATGAAGGAAAAGCACAACAGCAGTGTCAGGTTGTGTGACGTGCCAACTCTTCCAACTGCTCCTGGTATATGAAAAGCTCTTAAACTGATTCCAGTTACTGCTGGACCCTCAAAGGCCAGTTCATTTTTCCTCCATTTCTTTTTTTTTATTTTCCTCAGTTTTTTCTTTGTATCATCACTAACATTTGCAGTTTATTTTTCTTGACGTTAAATTTGAGTCTTCAAATCTCCTGATGTTGATATGTAGCAGTGTTCAGAAATCTAGATTCATATTTGCATCTGAGGTGCTCTGTACAAAGTTAACTGGTTTCTCCAACAAATATTATGTTTGTTCAAACCCCTAATTTTTTTCAAACTAACTCCTGTGACATTCTTCCTGATGGTAATTTCTTATTTGTAAAAGTTCCATTTCTATGAAAGCTGCTGAAATAGTGCTGTAATATTTTTAATCAGTATCAAGGAAAACGAAGGATATATAATTGTGGTAATAGGAATATATGATGAGAACAGGGTTGGGTTCTGCTCATGTAAGAGTTTTATCCAGCTGAGCTAAATTAATGAGGTTTTTAATCTATTATTTACTTGTAGCACAAACAGTAAAAGAATGGCCTCAGACTGAGAATAAAGGGAAGCACAAACCCAGGAAGCAGCCAGAGCTTTCTGTGTCTGCATTTTACACTGAAGAAGGAAGAAATGTGGGTATGTGTTATCAGGATGGATGGGTGAAGCCCTTTTCTTATCAGCACTTCTATTATAAAACTGGCAGGATGGTAAGTCCCTGATAACCAGGGTGCCTTGAACAGTGAGTGGGAGAGAGTTTCACTTACCAAACAGTGGTAAGGATTTTTACTTTAGATGCAGGTGGGTGGAACTTTTTGCCTGGTTTTTGGTTTTTTTTTTCTTTTGTAAAGTCCCTTGGGATCTTTTGGTTGAAGGTGCCCCAAGGAAAAGCCCTTTGAACATGGTTGATTTGGTTTGGAATTTTTTGAAGATGACAATTTTTTTAAATAAGTGGTTTTTTTAGACACTTTGTTCATTTCTTAAATAGGTACAATATATCAGAGATATCCCAAGGCAGTGTGTGTAAAAAAAACTGTTTGCTCTGTCAAATTGCCAGAGGAAGAGGAAATCTGTTCAAGCAAAGAGGTATTTTTCTCCTTACTAATAAATTGCCATTTTGGAACTATCCATCTGAAATAATGTAAATGTTAACTGTGATTCTGTACAATGTGTTATTACTTAAACTGTTCTGTATTTGCCAACAATCAGTTGCTCTGCTTGTTTGTCTTACAAGTGGCTGACCAAGTACAGTATTAAAAAGCTTAACCTGGAATTGCCCAGGCTGATGTTTGGTCCAAGCTGTACCCACCAGAAGACAACTGTGGAGTCTCTGCACAAGAAAGTATCAGCAAAATACTGTTCTGTCTTCCCCAGTGCAGAAATCAATGTAGGTTTTTGCAGATGTCAGGTACACCTACATTATTGAAAGGCTTTATATTTGTTTAGTGAATGTTGATTGATTTTTCTGACTTCTTTCCACTCTTCCCTGTTCTTTCCAAATCATACTTCCACTAGCAGGCTAGAGAGGGTCTTTTATTCACTGCAAAAAACCATTTAGCATGTTAGAAGTCCAAACTGCATGTTCTTTAGAATGTGTAGCATCTCCTCCATTCATACAGTATGAAAAATAATTTTTAAAATTTAAGTAAAATTTATCAAACTCATGTGTGAGTTGAAATGGGGAAAATGTTGGATCTTGATTGTTTCAGTTTGTGTAATGACTGGAGAGAAGCATAGGAAAGTTAAGTGCAAGCAACAGTCACAGAATTTTTCCTAGTATATTTCATAAATAAAAAGACAAACATCTCCCTGATGTCCAATGCCAACATTGCATATATAGCAGCTCAGCTCAGATTTCCTGAAGTGAGCTGCTCTTGTACAAACTGAATTTTTCCAGGGGGTTGTGAAACATCTGCAGTTTCAGCCCAGAGAGCTGGAAACCTACAGAGAGCAGCTGGAGAAGGTGCTGCAGCGCTACATCCAGAGAGTGCAGTGGCTTCTCTCAGGTATTGTGTGCCTCTGGTTTGCTGTCAAATATCTACAAACCCTTCTTGTCTGCTGTTCTGGTAGGATGGATCTGAATGTAGCTCTGAACCTTCAGTGTGAATAAAGATTCTCTGTCTTGCATTTCATTGAAAGGTAAAACTTATTTTTGTCAATACAAGAGAATTCAGCATCTGTGCAACTGATAAACATCTTGCTTGCTGACAAATTATTAGGTTTTGGTCTTTGTGAATAGAGTAGAAACTTTCTATCAACAGAATATATACAGGAACATACACAAACAAAATTAGCTTTTCTGCATGTTTTGCTTAGAATGTGCCCTGCTTAGAAATTCAGCATCACTACTGGTGAAGACTGTTTTGATCTCTCTATTGCTCATAAAGATCTTTCTCAGGAAGTTGTTTAATTTTTTACTGGATTGTAAAGCACAAATTATTTAATGCAAGTTGCTACAATTAGCTAGTAACTAATATTTGATAGTGCTAGTTTTGAAATGGCCAAACACTTTTCTATTGTTAACCTTTCAAGTATGTAATTGCCACATAGATTAGACTTAATTATGTAGAAATGTGCCCAGAATTACCCTAAAGAATGAAGATTTACATTATGCTCTATAAAATAAGCCTATGTAATAACTCCTAATTGGTTTTAATGTTGTGGCCCAGGAAGCAGAAGATGGTTTGGTACCATTGTAGAAACAAATGTCTGTGTTTTGATTGATACATCTGGTTCCATGGGCCCATACCTGCCACCTGTCACAAAAGAACTTACCTCCCTTATCTGGGAACAGCTGAGAAAAAATGAAGTCAGGTATGGTGAATTACTGATAAAGACTGAAATTTGCACTCATTATTATATAATCAGATTGCTTAATAATTACAGTGATACAGCACTGAAACACAATTCCAGTAATTATTGTATGTTAGAGTATAATGTGCATGTGACAAGAGCTGCTTTTTCTGTTGCTTTTACCAGTTTTAAGTTGTAAACTCTCTAAGATCTGAGCCTCTGTAGGCTGTAGGCTGTTTACCCTTTAGGCTCAGCACTCCCACAGATTTTCTGTTCATGCAGAGTAAAATATGCTTTTTGACTTTTCCAATGCTGAAGATCTTAATCCAACACCAGGATCTTTGATAGGGGGTGTGGTTGGGTTTGGTTTTTTTTACTGTTGGGCTTGTGTTTGGTTTTTTTTTTAGTTTAATGTATTTACTTATTTCAAAACTGTCTTACCAAAGTGACTCATTGTATTGGTTAGGGTTAAATGTTGTGGGTCATCTTTCTCCTCAGGTTTAACCTGCTGAGATTTGCAGAAAATACAGAGAGTTGGAAAGAGCATCTTGTAGAGGCAACTGATGAAAGCTGCCATGATGCTGTGCAGTGGGCTGCCACATGCCATGCTCATGGCAGCTCCTGCATCCTTGCAGCTTTACAGGTTGGTGTGCCACAGCTTGGGGAGCACAGCCTGTCTGTGGGGGTACAACACTTCCAACCTCACTGGTGACATCCTAGGGAAATGATGATGTCAAAATGCACAACATCTTTATATGCAAATCACTGAACACTTTGGAAATCAAGTCACTGTTTCTGGCCCCAGGGCTTATAGATACTCAAATTAATTGCTCATACTAAGTTTTAAAAAAAAGTCAAATATCAGTATCAATAGTATTTTTAATATTTGTGTTCAAAGAATACTGGAGAGGGGAAATAGCCAGTTGCTCAAACTGCTGTTTATGTACAGCTGTGGCTGTGCTATGTTGCTCTGACCCAAACAGGGTTTTAAATAAGCAGTGTTTGTTGGGATCTCATGGGTTTTGAGTACAATTCTTGAACTTCAGTAACAGGTGAAGAAACTTTTCTCCTATAAAAATTCTCAGTGTGGAAATCAACTAGTAATAATAATTTAAAACTGAACTTGCAATTTTATGAGATTTAAAAATGGAATCCAAAAGGAAATGTTGCCTTTAATGAATGATTCTTCTTCCAGACAACCTTGCACAATCTCTAAATAAATGTTATGGCATTCATCATGAATGAAGTCCAGTAGAGCTGCAAGACATGTGTATATTACAGAGATGTCCACTGAGTCAATTACTGTAGCAAACTTTCCTAATATTCATTCAAGTGTTAGTGAGCCTGCTTTTCAGACATTAAACAACTTTAACTCCCATAAAATATGATGTAAAAGTTTTCTGTCTTTAGTTGTCCAAAACCAGTTAACTTTCTTATTTCAGTGAGTCAATTTTTGGCAATGTTCTGCTTATAAATATGTTGTCTTATGCTACAAATGATCTACTTAAATTTTCAAATTTATATCCTTGATCCCCTTCCCTAATAAGCAAAAATTAAAAGACAAAACTAAGTTGGTTAATGATCAAATATAAATATATTGGCAAATATAAACTATCTTACATGATTGGAATGGTGGTTTTGTTCTGAAGCATAACATTTCATATAAATGTACTGATTATTTAAGCTTATTTTCTGCTTTTCAGAAGGCTCTCAGTTTCCAAGGTGTAGAGGCACTGTATCTATTGACTGATGGAAAACCAGACACCAGTTGCAGTCTGATTTTGAAAGAAATTGAAAGATTGATAAAGAAACAAGATATTAAAATCCACACCATTTGTTTTAGCTGTGCAGACAGGTATATGATACTTTGCAAGAACAAAACAAAAATCTGTTAAAATGACTAGTTTATTCATTGTCAGAAGTCTGTGCTATGGGGAAGGTTGTTCTGACACAGGTTCTGCCCCATGGCCTGCATTTCATACAGGAATTTATAATCATGGCCTTCAGTGTGTTTGTTTTGATGTCATATTTTTGAGGAGCTCTTAGAAATTCTTTTGCTGTTGCTTTCAGAAACATTTTTCCTAAGTAGTTTTCTACTTTGTGCTGACAGAGGAGCTGTTGAATTCCTGAAGAAGCTTGCTTCCCAAACAGGAGGGCGCTTCCACTGCAGCTCTGGAGGTGAAGATGGACAATTAGCAGCACACAGAATATTGACAGAGGGGCTGGATGATGAAGATGTATGTTCAATAAATCAGTTTGTTTTGTTTCATTGCAACTTAGTTCTTCAGCAGTAGAGAAACTTCATTTAAAAAAGAAAAATAACGAGGAAAAAATAATACAAAAGTTTTAAGTTATTTCATATTAAAAGTAAAAAGAGAAATCTTAGTATCTGGTTTTGCCTTTCTGCTGCCTTGGTGAGGTGCCCAAGCCCATAAAAGGAATACAAAGTGCAATATAGGTTTTGAAAGAGAAGTAAAAAATATACTGTGTGTCTGCATGTGGTTTTTAAGCTAACTTCAGCTTTTACTGTCTTCTTATCCTTCCCATCTTGTGTTTCATTTAACTGTAAAATCCTTATACAGTGCTTAGCACATGAATTCTCCAGCATGAGACTTCAGGCATTGTCACAGCAGAAAAATGTTACTGAAAAGAGCCAGGTTCAATCTAGGCTGGCTCTGCTCTCCCCTTGTAAGACCAAGAGCTTCTCTGCAAGTAAGGAAATTTAGAGCTTAGGATCAGTTAATTCAGGTGGGGAAACAGAAAACAATAAATAAGTTAAAACATTTTAATTGTGTTTTCAGAATCCAGTTTTCCCGTACTTTGAAGGAGATGATCTAAAGAACCTTACTCAAGAAGTAGCAAAAGCTAGAAGTTTCTTAAAGCAGGCAAAATCTTGGAGGTGAGTATTTATAAATAATCTTTGTATTTATTATTTCATGGAATGAAGACAAGAATATCTGACTCCCAATGTCTGTTTTATAAAAAAAATAGACCTGGAGAATTGTCTAGAATAGGAGTGAAGGACAATTAAATTGTATTGATCCTTATGTTTCTTCCTAAATGCCAACCCAGACCCAGAAAGCACCAGTTCAATAGGAGTAGTAGGCAAAACTTCCTGCAAAGAGCTTTAAAATGCATTATACCTGAAAAATCACCCAAGGACAGGGCTAAGCAGAGACTCCAAGGTGTTCTGTGCCTCTGTGAAAAACTGATGGAATTCTTTGGGGTTTGTTTTTCTTTCAAACAGATTATTGCTTGAAAAATGGAACACAAACCAAAAAGACAACTCTGGCTTCCAAAAAAAGTGTTCAGGTAAACAGTCATCACATTTACATCATAGTTTATCTATAGTTCATGTATTTCAGTAGGAGGGTAATAATTTAATAAATTTATTCATTTCTAGCAGTGACTTTTTTCAAAATGGGAAATATTTGTAGTGATTTTAGTTCTTAGCTGAGATAGTCCACAGTAAAACCCCAAATAACCAAAGAAGAGTTCCAAGAGAACTCTTTGGGGTGAGAAGAGCAAGGCAGATGTGTATTTGTAGTTATTCATGGTCTAGCAAGCAGTTAAGCACATTAGAGAGTTAGAGCCAGGTGTAATGGCTGAAATAACAATTACTGCATGATTTATCTGTTAAATGAACAAGGCTGACTGGAAAATGTCCCCACTAATACAAAGACATCCTCAGCAAACAGGGGACTGTCACTACAGAGTGGTGGGAGAGGCAGCTGGGCAAACTGAACCTCTCCCAGAGCCAACCTGCTGCTTTCAATTGGCAAAGTAAAAACCACAGGAAAAGAGAAATTGCTGGGTGGAAGCACTTTCTCAGGGTTAAACAGACAGAAGCATTTGTCACAGAGCTGTTTGAGGGAAAACAATGGACACAGACAACTGCAGAGTTGCACTAAGGAACATTGGCCTGCCAAGATATTCATCAAGGGCTTGGGTAAGGCAGATACAGAGCAAGACTGGGGTTGTTAAAATCCTTGTTTCTATAACTGTAGTTTGTATTTTGGTTCAAAAACATTTTTCCCAGTCATTCAAATAGGAATAAAAAAAATCCAGTCTGCCCTGCTGGCTAAGAATGCCTGGTTCATGGAGAGTGGAACCTGGAGCCTGGTGTGCAAGAGTGGGTGTGTGTGAATGTGTGTGAGTGTGTCTGAGGCTGCAGAATTCAGCATTTAAGGGCTGATCCCTCCCCAGAGATGCTTGGAGAGGGAGCAGATGAAAAACCATCCTACAAGAGCAAGGAAGTTGTTACAGGCATGCAGAGATAAGGCTGGTGTCCCACAACTGTCTCTGTATCTCAAGATTCCAAGGAAAACTGTATTGCTGGTGAAGTGTACAGGAAGGCATTCCTGTTAAAATTCTCCAGAAGGGGCATAGCACTGTAGCCCCATTAAACATGTAAGAAAGGAAACTTTATTACTTTCAGTTTAACTTGTATTGGTTTTCCATTACTGTTTTGTCAATGGTGACCTGGAGCCCATTCATTTTATATATTTTGAGTTGTATTTTTAAAAGTATTCATGTGCTTCACTTGTAGGATTAAATTTTAGATGAAGAAAAGATGCTGAAGAGGTTTGGAATGATACCATTCACCTGCTTCTTTTCAAAGTGTGCTCACACCTTCCAGCTGCCAGCAGAAAGATGATTTTTTTCTTTGTTGTCACAACTGCTGGCAAGACAAGAAGTTGCAGATAAGTGCTGCACTCACTCCACTGGCAGATTTTGCAGGATTCAAAATAAATCAAGCCCTGAACTCTACAAAGTTTAAATAGAAGTAGAGGATAGTTTTCAGTATAGCTAATAGAAATTTTTAAAGAGTATGTATCAGTGGTGATACAGGATCACAACTTTTGTTTCTCTTTTACTGCATTGTATTGATAATTTCTTCAATTAGTTGCTGGTATGTCTGAATTGCCATTTTTGTCTGTTGTTTGAAAATTCTTTACTGATGCTTATTATCCCTAACAGATGGCTGTGATGTTAGGAAGATAATTCTTTATGCCAGTATTGCATAGAAAGTCCAAGAAATAACCTTAGTGCAGAAAACAAAGCTTATAATTAATGTTTTTACACAGAGAAGTTTTGCTAATAATTATTTTGACTCTTTACTTTTTGTGTTGGCAGTAGAGAACAATTTAGAGCTGGATGAGACATGCAAGAAAATAATACCCTGTTGCTGATGTAGCCCGATTGTGTTTTTATAACCAGACACTGCCTATCTTTTGAGCAATTCTATTCTTATATATTTCCTGTCTAGAAAGATTAGAAATATGTTTGCCAGTATCAGTTGATTTGTGAGATATGTTTGTTTTTTACTGATTTCTGTAATGACAGCTCACTAGTATTTTGTGGATCTTCACTGTTGTCTTTTAGAGTGTTAGAAATTCATCTCAGGTGTTTCATATATGTAATATAATAAAAATAGAGTCATACTTCAGGATTAAGATACTTGATCTGCATTTATTCAGGAGCCATTTGTTTCTCTTTCATGCCACTGGATATGCTGTGATATGGGAGATTGTGTCTTTTCTGTCCCTTTATCTCTTTTATCACTATAAAGAATTAAAAATTACTTCTATCATAAATGTATCTATTTAATGTTTTATGCTCTGAACCAGGTGACTCCTGCCTTCCATGTTAGTGCCAGCCTTTCCTAGAATGCTGCAGTTGAACTGGTGCTTTGTGCTGTGCATCACTTTGTGATTTTATTTGTGGATGTGTGTAACTGCTGAGATTATTTTATATGAAAAATGTTAATTGTAAACTAATAGGATTGGTTGCATTTCTGTTTGGGGTATAGATGATGATCGCTGATAAAATGAGGATTTCTATTAACAGAAATGTTAAAACAGTAAATCCAGGTAGAAAGGATGAGCTTTCTGCATTGCCAAAAAGAGTTTATTTGTTTCTTGGAGGATTTAAGAAATGTCACAGTTCTGTAGCATAGAGTCTTATATTCCTTTAAAAGTACTTTAAAAGAACTTAAAAGGAAACACACTTCTGCAGATGTGTTAAATGGTATCAGAGGCTCTTTGCAAAGTAAGATCATAATGAACATGTTGGATTTTGCAAATGTGGATAAGCATCAGAATATTTCAGTCTGTTGTGTTGGACTGCAATTCTCAAAGCTCTCATTTAGAGCCTTTCCCCTCCTGTACAATATTTGGTGTTCAGAGGTTTTACTCTATCAGAACAATTGCACTTACACAGTGTCTCCACTGGCTGGTTGTCAGTGGATGTGTAACCCCAGTTTGGGGCAGCCTCCATAAACACTCAGCACTGAGCTGTGTGTTTTGGCTTGCACTGGTTGTTTGTTTCTGGGCAGAGCACAGCACATTTCCTGCTTCCCCTGAGCATGAGCTCACACTCCAGCAGGTGTTGGGAACTCAGGAGCCTTCTCCTTGCTGGTGCTGTGAGCCAAGGGCTTCTGAGCCTCCTGTTCAAGGAAATGCAATGAAAAGTAAGGAGCAAATGTTGTTGTTAGAATCTGTGTAAGCACAGAAGCTGTAAAACAGTCAGGGATGACAGGACTGAGCCATCACACCCCATCCAAGTTTCCTTCTTTTGTGTGTTCAGCCTGTGCAGCCAAAGCCTTGTGGGCTCACAGGCTGCTCAAGCCCTGCCACCTCCCAGACCAGCTCCTTCCTTCAAAACACAGATTCCATCTCCTTGCTACCTACCTGGAAACTCCCATCCTGCCTGCTCATCAGGCTGAGGGCTGCTCAGCCAGGAGGGCATTTCAGGAGATGCCTCAGTGGGGCTGACCTGAGTAACACTCAGTCAGTGACTGCAGTGGGGCTCTGTCAGCTCTGTGTCATTTGCTTTCCTGCTCTGTGCTTGCTGGAATGCAGCCCACTGTACTCAAGACATAATAAATGAGGGGTTCTATAATTGACCAAATGCATATTTTTCTGCTAACTAGTTTGTAAGTCATGTCATTGCTGTGACTCACTGAATATGCTGATTTGTGAGCAGTGAATTAAAGACAAATGGCTGAACCAGTTGTGTGTGCAGCCCCCTTCAGGAGAGTGGTGCTTTCTGTGTGGAGCAGCCGATGTGCTGCCACAATTTCCAGTTTCCAGCTGCTGAGCTAGGTTTGACTGGTGCAGGTGTTCATAACCCTTAGCAAGGACTGGCAGTTCAGGAACTCCTTCCTGCATGGTTCAGCCACAGCAGCTTCAGGGGACAACTTTGAGGATAAGGAAAGCTTAGCATAGTGACAAATCCCTCCATCCAAATTTACCTGAATTTGAGTCACCCCCAGCAGTTCATGCTGCCTCGAAGGAAGGTGATGCCTCTGTGTGTTGTGTCCTTCAGAATTCTGTTCAGTTAGAATTTCTCTGTGCCTATAAGCATGTTGTTACTGTTAGCATTTATCTAGATTTGTAACTACAAACTTCAAGAACTTAGGCACCCAAATGTGTTAATACAACTAAGTCACTGGAATTTTCATGGAATCACTTTACTGCATCTAAATCAGATGTATATCAGATGTGTATGTCATTCCATTGAACTTTGGGCCTTTGTGAAACCATCTCAGATGCTTATAAGATATTTGCTTGCTGATTAGTTTAAATAAATAAATAAGTAATAGGAAGAGAAAGGAAGAAGGGAAAATGCAATTCCAGAAATGTGCCAGCATCAGAAAATACCCTTTTTCTTCCCTGTCTCTGTTACAATAATGATAATTTAGGTTTGAGATAGTCATTGTGCTGGCAGAAGTAATTTTTAAGAAGTCTGATAATCTTTGACTTATATCACGTGAGAGTTCATCAGTTAGAATCTCAAATTCTCCCCAGAATTTGATAAGTAGCTTAGGCAGACCTTGTAAGCCACAAGTTTATCTGCTTTCAGTGACATGGGCTGCTCTGTCACTGTGGTCACTCCTAATGTGGTACCAAGGCTTTTCTAAATAAAGTAAAAACTAGCAAATAACAAACCTGTTGGAATTGTTATAATTTCTTTCAAACATGCATTTGTATGGTTTGTTTGACACTTTTGTTGTCTCTCTTATTCCCATGTGTAGCAAGTCAAACTATGATCCCTGCTAACTGTATAGAAATGTGCCTTTATTCAGTACAATGTAATGCAGTATTTTTATTTATGATGCATTTGTATTCCTTCCCTTCACATATTGCATAAACTGTCCTCTTCTTTAACAAGACCCAAGGGCTGATGCAGGGATCTTGGTTGCTGCTGTGAGATGTTGCTTTGTTTCTTCCTGTAATTCCATCCTGACCTGGCAGTGCAGGCTCAGAGTTATCATTTCATTTGACCTGTAAATCAATCTGTGTAACATGCAAAGTAACCACGAATGCAAAGGAAATGAGAACAAAGTCATTTGAAAAGCATTTTATGGGGCACATTCCAAGGCTGTATTTATGTGTGCTTTATTCCTTCCATGAGGAAACAGTGAAATATGCAGAACTGTGACACAAATACACAAAGAAAGAGGAAAAAGGAAGGATAGAGTGAGAATATTTATGTATGTTAATGAAGAATGGAGGGATTTAAGAAGAACCTGATCTCTTAGCTTTGCAGCAAGGAATAAGGATCTGCATCTTCCTTTCCCTTCTGGCCTGGACTTGGAGCATGGCATGGGTGAGTTGCTTTGCCTCTGTGAATTACTCCTCTAACTTAGCAAGGAATGTGAAGAATGTTGTGTTACCATAACAGTTTGGGTCTTACTTTGCATTTGTTGTTGTTGTATCAATATTGTGTTGGTAAACTTTTTAAAGGATGACTTCATGCCTTAGAAATGTTTGATATGTACCCATATTTAGCAATTGGTTATATGAAAAATATTCTGAATTTTCCTTTCCCAAATTCAGATCCCATGATTAATCTTTATGACTAAAATTTCTAAGCACAGCTAAACATAATTAGAGGAGAGCTCTACTCTTTTTCTCTTCCATTAACATTGCAAGACCTGATTTAAATGCTTTTCAACATTTTCTGTCCTCTCTCACATAAAGAGTGAATATCTTACTGTTGTCACTTCCCTTCTGTCAGCTCTCTACTGTTTCAGACATCCTTGTTATGAGGGTGGTTGTTTTTGTAGTCACAAAGAGATAAGTTCCCTTAGTCAGAAGTACTCACACCCTGTAACAGCTCTGCCCAGACCTCTGGGGCTGCAGAGGGACTCAGCACTGTCCAAACGAGTCTCAGTGAGCTCACAGGCTGTGGCAGTGCCTCTGATGGGCACCTGCATGTGAGCAAGTGCACCAGCAGGAGCTCAAACACAGCAAGCTTGGACAGCTCTACTCATTTAGGGCTTAGATGCAGAAAATTTTAGTAAGTCAGCTGAAGAGAGGATATCTTTTGTATGGCAGGTATTTCAGCAAAACCCTGTCCTTGAGTAGGTTTAAGAGAGAGCTTCGTCTCTTCTGATTTTCTGCCATTCCTCTGCCCTTGGGCACTCCAGAACATCCCATCCTGCCTGTGACTCACACCAAATATCCACTGTCACCTTCACTCACGCCTCTGCTGAGCTCCTCATGCTCTGGCTACTCTGTTAAAGGCTCCTTTCTGCACAGGATCCTCCACACCTGAAAGCCATTCTCCAGGTTACCCCACAGCTGGAGCACAGCTCCTGTCCTGTGGGCTGGGAGTGCAGAGCTGGGAATTCACAGTGCCCAGGACACAGACCTGGTCTCACACTTCTGCCTTCTGTGGTTTGAGCCCCTCTGGGGTCCAGCACCCAGCAGTGCTCAGAGCCAGCACAGGGACCAGCTTTGCCTGCTGGACAGACGTTGTCTTGTCTGCCTTATGCCAAATGCTCCTTACTCAATTCAGGCTTGGCTCTGGCAGCATGTGATTTGAAATGAACTTGTGTAAGCACACTGGGCTCCTCTATGAAACACTGCAATTACATTTCAACATCACTTTACAGTCTGGATGTGAGTAACATTTTGATAAGCCAAACAACATTTCAGAAATGTGGATCTCCTCCATGTAAATAAATGGACAAACTCCCTGACACCTTCCTGTTGTATTTTACAATCATCTGCTATAAGTACTGGATGTTTTGTTTGTTTCTATGTGCCTACATGAACTATGAATGGTCACAGGAGAAAAAGTAGAAAAAGGCAGTATAGAGTTGTGATTCAAGACCAAAAGCAAGCTCCAATCTTAATGCAGCAGCTTTTCTCCTTGTAACTTTAGCTTCTGTTTCTTGCAGAAATACTTAGCATGATGCATTGAATAAAATATGACCATCCTTCTTTACTAAAGGTAAGAAAATAAGCTTAACAGGACAGGTACGAAATACCAGATCTGAAAACTCCTCTGAGGTGTCCCCTTCTTGCCAAGGTGGAAACCAAGGCCAAGTTAAAATGTTCTTTGTTACATTTCACTGAAGAGTGAGGGATTGATATCCTTTGGATAAGCTGACAAGCTGCTTTGAGTTGTGAAGGAGTTCTGGAATAGTTCAGGGATAGAATGGACACTTTATTTATTGATTAAATGGTAAAAGCTGTCAGGGCTGTGGACAGCTCAAAACAGACAGTTTGGTGTTCTTGGGGATTTTCCTGTGAGCTGAGCTTGTCACTCACTCAGCAATCCAAAAAGTGCAGATAAATTTGACAGATTCCATATTCTGGTTCTAATGCCAAGGACAGGGACTTCAGAACATACACACTATGTGAAAATACATTTGTCTAGGTGTCAGTTTGAGTTCGTGTCAGCACATGAACATTAAATTACATTTAAATTGCAATTGGTTACCTATGAACTTGAGATATTTCTGACATGCAAACACTGAAAATTGTAGTAATTTATATTTAGATGTGGGAGTGTTTCTTTAGCAGCTTAACTACTGTTTTGAGACGTAATTTTAGACACACCCATTTAAAAATGTTGGCTTTGATTTCTCATTGTTTAACTCACAAAAGCAAATGTTTTAAAAGTGCTTTAAAATCTTAGGACAGAGCACATATATAATTATTAATAATTTCATTAATTCATCATTCATTTAAAATGCATTATTTAACACTACATCACCTTTTCCTGTTCTGTTATGCACAAGGTTGTTTATTACCTTCACATTCATCCTGGAAGCCAGAGAACAACCCATGTGCCCACAGTTAAGCCTCTCTGCAAATACAAAATTGGGTTGGGGATGGAGATATAAAAGTCAGGATGAAAGTGCTGAGTAGCACTGCCAAACAGGATTTTTGTTCCTTCTGTAGTAGTTTATCTACAGAATGATGGTACCAATGGTTTATTTGTGTTGTACAGTGTCTTGTACCAGGTAAGGGAGAGCTACCATCCTGTTAAGAAGGGTCTGATGTGGAGAATTTTTTAATTTTTTTCCTGAAAAGGAACGTAAATGATGTACCAATGAAGCCCTGCCCTTTTCTGGCTCCCAGCCAGGCAGCAGCTCCAAAGGAGCAGGAAGAGCAAAAGGGCTGAGCACGCGTGAACTGCTCTGCCTGCCCGAGAGCACCTGATGCCCTTGAGTCACGAATTGTCCAGCACAGACACCTCACCCTCCTACCTGCACAGCAAGGCCTGGGAGACACTGACAGCAGGATTCTACCAAGGGTACTTACTGCTTCTTCAGCTTTTTTTAAAAACCTGATGTGTTTGACTTTAACTTTTTCTGGGAAGTAATTAGAACATTTCTGATATTTGAAATGACAGTAGGGGAGCTAAGAGCAACTCGCAGTGCATGTGCTGCATGAGATGTGACTATGCTCGTCATGCAGAATACATTCATAAATGATAATAGCTCCTATAAATTCAGAGAAAAAGGAAAGTTACTGATTCTGAAAAGAAGCATTTTCAAAAAGAAAATTGCTTATGTTCAAAATTTGAAACAATTTTCTAAATCCATGAAGCAGATTAATATACTAATGCTATTAGTGCTTTTTAAGGAAGAGATTTCTAGAAAACTTTAAAAATTTTTATGCATTATTTAACCTTATTAAAACCTTAAGACGATATTAATGACAAGTATTCAGATATATACCATTTCTCAAATGTCTTTTTGTAATATATGTGATAAGCTTGACTTTACTTCTCCTTACAGTGTATAAAAAGATGTTTATTCTCAGAAGAGAAGGCAAAAGAATTTTATGTGGCTTAAGACTCCTGCAGAGCATACTCTAGAGATACAAATTTATGTTTCCTTGCTTGAACAGGACAGCATGCTTGTTTTAGTTCTATTACATTAGTTGTAATTTAAATTTTGTTTGGAAACATGGATTATTTTTAATTTTTGAAATGTCAGGATGTTTTTCAACATAAGGAGCTTCTGTTTTACACTGTTATGCCACTCAGTTTACTGAATTGGGTGAGCTGACATTGGTGTTAGAACCATGTAACAGCACAGAGAATATGGTCCTTTCCTGTGTCTGAAATCTAAAACCCAACATATAAAATAAGGAGAATATCACAAACAAAATTATAAAATACTAAGTAAGCAATGGTTAAGTAGTTCATAATTTTGTGTGCTGTGGCTGAATTTTGTGTTACTTTTCTAGAATTATTTGTCACCTGGAGGTGACAGAGCTGCCAGCTCCCAGCCCTGCCCCGTTTCTGCCTGGGCTCTGCTGAAGCCTGCTGTAAATGTACTTACCTGTGAGGCTCCTCTCATGTGAGGAGCTCTCCAGCTGTGAGAAAACCAAAATAATCTGCAGAGATTGGGTCCATATTCCTGTACTAGGCTGCAGGCACCCAGCTGGGCTCCCACTTTATGGTGACATGAATGATTGCAGATTTCTTCTGGATTTTTGTTTGGGGTGTAAGAGCCTTGGTGCAAAGGCCAAAAGCATGGAATCAGGACAACAGGGACTCTGTGTGGGAAAATTAAATGTTGTGGACAAGTGTTGAATAAACTAATTTGCAATACAGAACAAGGTGTACAGATGGGTAACTACCATGGAGTTGTTATCCTAGAATGAAATTCTAATCAGTTTTCCCAGCTAGATGAACCCACAGGGCAGATGGCTTATCTCTTCTGCCCCTTGTTGGTTTAGCTGTCTATGAATGCCCTACTGAGAACAATATGGTGAAAAGTTAGTGAGAACTGGACAGGAAACTAAATATATTTAATGTATAACCAGAAAAGCTTAAAATGGTAACAAACAAACAGACCCAAATGTGAAATAAAGTTGATTTTAAAACTAGAATGGATCCTTTCTCATATTCCTCATCTAAAGTCTTGGTTTATTTTCCTGACTTGCAGGATAACATCAATTTGGTATTAATATATCAGAAGTTAATGAGCTTTCAAGGAAAAAATGTTTGATTAAACCAAGTATTAAAAAATGCCATCATAGCTTTTAAGGTTAGGTAATTATAATGGCTCTAAAATCCTGTAATTTCATTTCTATATAATATGAAATTTAGGCATATGAGGAAAAGACTCAGTCTTGGAATATGAAAATATTTAGATTCATTAAACATTATACATAGAAAACCTATCACCAAAATGATGAATTTATACACTTTAAACATACTAAGATAATAAAACTAGTATGGGAGCGTTATAATGTGAAAGTCATTGAAATTACCCAGACCTCAGAGCATTATGCAGGAATTTTCAAGAGATCTCCTCTCCTGTGTTGCAGCCGGGATGCCAGAGGGATCCAGGGAAGAGCTCCCCAGCAGCCCACCCTGTGAGAGCCAGGGGACAGAGCCTGCAGGGCTGCTGGCTCCCAGGAGCAGCAGGACAATGGTGACAGGAGGTGGAGGCTACCTGGGGTACAATCTGGGATGTGCCCTGGTCAGCTCGGGAATTGCTGTTGTGCTCTTTGATCTCCGCAAACCCAAATGGGAAATTCCACGCGGAGCGGATTTTTTCAAGGTGTGTTGGAGTTCCATGTCTAATGCTCATTACCAAGGCTTCCTCTTAAGGACCTTTGATTAAAACATTGATGGAAAAGCCTTTCAGGACAAGAAGAAGCTGTGTTAAAAGGTCTTTGCATGCATAAGTACCTGATTAAGGGATGGCAAACAGGGTCCCAGTGTCTCCAGTGTCACCAGTGCTGCTCTGCTGGGCGGTGCCATTCAGCACCAGGGAAACTCAACAATGAAGGGACAAAGGTTCCTGCTCAGGGGAATTATTTCAAGGGAAAAGGTGAGACCAAGACAGGGCAATAACAGGGATCACAAATGCCAAACACTGCCATGCAGAGAATGATTGAGGAAAGTGGAATTTCTGGGATTTCCAGGCTGGGAAAGAGGTGACTCAGGAGTGGGAGAGCTCTACAGGCTGTGAGTGGCATCGTCCACTGTCCCAGAACAAGAAGGAAAGGCCATAGGAATGAGGAGTCAGTTCAGCACAAACAAAATGATGTGGCTTTTCCTGCAGTGAGTAAAAGGCATGTGCAAAGCCTCAAGAAAAATTTACCTCCATTGGAAACTGCTGAATAGATAAATTAAATTAGGCTCAAGAAATTTTCTGAATGAAAATGCTTCAAGAGTAGAAGAGCACTCAGGGGAAAGCCCCACATTCGCTTGCCCTGTTCATGCTCTTCCTGCAGCACCCATTTATGAGCACTGATTCTTTTTGATTTTGAACAATTCAAGGAATTACTGTGTCTGAAAAAAGAGGGAACACAAGAGGTCTCCAGAACTTGACAGCTCACTGCCATGTGTAGAGGACACATTCCCCAGTACCTCTCACAGCTGCTCCAGGTGCTCAGGTTTGGGCTCTGGGAGCATTTTCTGGGTGCTCCTGTCATGTCACACAAATTCTGGCTAAAGCCAGGATATTGCTCAGCTGATCTTTGCTGAACATTTACTGTAAGAGCATTGGCCACCCCTGCTAGAACTGGAAAGTCGATGGCAAAGCTGGAAGGGATGACGGGACCTTGGTCCTGCAGGCTGACATTGTGATGCCAGGTTCTCTCCTTTGGGCTACATCAGCCTCTGGGGAAGGTGGAAGGGAGGCAGAGGGGAATGGATGATTCTGAGGAGAGCAGAATACCAGGCCACGCAGATCTTGTCTGACCCAGGATGTTTTTATGTTCAATTTCATAAACAATTTTTACAGAATATGGAAGAGGGATAAAATATTATTGAAGAACCATTCAAACACCATAAGCTTGATTTGTTAATGCTAGAAGTCCACATAATTTGATTTAAGTTTGGCAATTTACATCTTCTAAAGGAGACTCGAGATCTCACAAATGATCTTCTAGAACAGAGTTTTTTTATAAATCAATTTAGAAAGAATAAATATTACAAAGTAGAGGAGAGTTACCTGGAGAATTGAACTATGGAGTCCCAGTAAATGAATTAATAGGTGACTTCAGAGGTTTGAGCCTTGAGCAGTGATTTGGGGATGGCTGATATTGTTTATACTGGTTAGCTCCTGTAGCACTGCATTGAGGGTGGGAGGGGTAAGTCAGCTGCATTTGTGAAATACTTTGGCAACATTAGGAGAAAAGAGTTGGGAGTTAAAGACTGGTTAGATTAGCTCTTCATATTGTTCTATCAATTATTCTCTGTTACTCTATCAATTTCATTGCAGGAAATAATATAACACCTAATATTTTGAAATATTTGGTGATTCCAAGGCAAACAGCTGAGCCCTTCCTGCTGTGATTTATTGTCCCTGGGGCTGGATTCTCCAGCCCTCCAGCACTTGCTGCTCCCATTCAAGTCAAACAAGTTTTGCCAGCCTGGAGGCTGCAGGACTAAGTGTGAAAATACGCATTATAATTGAAGCCAACAAGAGTCATCTTTGTTTTGCAACAAAATACTGGCAGAATTCTTAGTCATTGCTTTTTCTGCCTGTTCATATTTCATTTAATTGTCTGTGAAAAACAGACCAGAATACCTTTAGATTTTCCACAATAGCCACGGTTAATACAGTTCTATAGAGAATGTAGGAGCTCTACCTGTCAAAAATCCATTCTTTTCTCTTTTACAGGGTGATGTGAGGGATTATGAAGCAGTGTTCAAAGCTTGTGAAGGGGTTGACTGTGTTTTCCATGTAGCTGCATGTGGAATGTCAGGATTGGAACAAGCAAGTACCATTTTCCTACAGTTTTCTTTGGTTATTTTTGAGAAAGAAAAACACTGTCTGCATGTAACAAACAATGCCATTTTACAATATTTATGTCAGAAGTTGTTATAAAGGCCAAATCATCCATACAGGAAATAAGGAGGTATTCCTTAAATAATAAAGTCAAAGTGTGAAAGTAATGTACTGCAAAATATTCTAGAAAAATGAGCTCATAGTTTAAAGATCTCAGATAAGAAGGTGTAGCCTTTTTCTCTGATCTGAAGAGTGACAGCATTGCTCTAAAACTAAAACTGATGCATTTTCTTCTTGTGAGCTCAGTCATGAGGAAACAGACCACAATCAATATGTTCTGCTGAATTACAGAGATAGTCACAGAAGGTGTTATCAAAAAAATCATGAACCTACTAATTTATTTCTAGGAACAGGACAGATTGC